CGCGTCCCCCTGGGTTGTCCTGAAGCCAGCACTGCAGATCTTGCCAGCCCAGCGGGATGGCCTAACCTGGGGGACCCGAAGTCCTCGTGAGCTCTTCTGGCTGCATCTATCGCAGGGTTACCTTAACTCTTCCCTGGGAAGGGATCCAAGGTGGCCTTGGGCTTCTTGATTTGTTTGCTGTCCCCGCCTGGTACACGTGATTAGGACGTATTGGGGAAAACCAGACACTGGCTGTCCCCGTTGCCCAGCAATGCCCCTAGCCTGGGGACCGGGCATCACTGCTCTTCTGCGTGTAACTCTGGGCCAACTCCTCGAGGTGTCCTCACCGCGGCTTCCAGTTACCCATTCAGCATCTAGACGAGAGGTTCGAAATTCCAGATCCTGGATTCACATTTTTTAACATCAGACATGACCCCTGGACCACCGCAGACATAGCTGTCTCCTGTCCCCTACACCACCCTCCTCCCTCCCCTCCGCTTCTACCTGCCCTGGGCTGCTGCCCACTGCCATCTGCTTCCCCAGGCCTCCCACTCTCCACGTGCTGGTAGGTGAGTCCCAGGCACCAGCGACGTCACAGCGGGATCGTTTCCTGCCTCTGTGCTGAGCTGGCTGCGCTGAGCGCTCCCTGTGGTGGCCTCCCCGTGAGGGAGCATGTTTCTGTACATCAGTGAGCACCTGCTGGAGTTCAGGTCCAGCAGGAGCACCTCACTCCTCGTGTCCCTTGTTCGTCTTGTCCCACTCCTCATGTCCCCAGCTCCTCGCATGCTCTGGTCCTCCTCGTATGCTCTGGTCCTCCTCGTGTCCCCGCTCTCATGTCCCCGCTCTCGTGTCCCCACTCTCGTGTCCCCACTCTCGTGTCCCCACTCTCGTGTCCCCACTCTCGTGTCCCCACTCTCGCGTCCCCGCTCCTCGTGTCCCCACTCTCGTGTCCCCGCTCCTCGCGTCCCCACTCTCGTGTCCCCACTCTCGTGTCCCCGCTCCTCACATCCCCACTCTCGTGTCCCCACTCTCGTATCCCCACTCTCGCGTCCCTGCTCCTCAAATCAAGCACCATGGGCCCAACGTGTCAGGACCAGATGCAGCGGCCACATCCTGTCTCCGCCTGCCG